TGTGGGTACCTGGCATACAGAGTAGAATAAGATGATGAACTGATCACCTTGGCTTCATGCTCCAGAATACCAAGCCATAGCCCAGATATGAGTAATAATGGGTAGCAGAAGCCACCAGAGATGAAAAAGGGAAGACTTGCCTGGACTGAAGATTTTTGATCCGGGAAAGCATATCCAAATGTCCTGCTGAATACTGTTCAATGACATCCATCACATCATACGGTCGCAGGCTTTCCTTGAATTTTCGCTTGGAAACCAGAAATCGCATGATGCTAAAGCAGGGAAACAGAGGGACAAGCAGAAACCTGCAATGAAGTGGCTGACCCTTTCTCGGTGTCCATATCTACATTGGGAGGGAGTCCCTATGGAAGACTGGAGATCTTCTAATGTTTTAAATAACAAAGCTATTGGTGCCTGATAAAGCTATTTAATGTCAGCCTTGTGAGGTAGTCCAGACAAGAAGCACACCCAGAAGGACAAGCTCTACTTTATTGTAAGGTTACGTTAACAGAATGTTGCAAGCCTGAAAGTACCTCTCTGCCCCCTCGCCTTTACAATCCAAGAAACTAGGGAGGGTCCCTTCTGAGATGTTTGCCAGGCCCCATTCCTGCTGTGGGCTCAGCTGTCTCTTATCTGACCATTGCCTAGTCTGCAGCTCTTCCTCCTGTCTCCCAAGGTGATTTCCACACCAAATCACACAAATAGTTCCCCCCATACTTCTTTCCCTCATTTGAGGCCAACAGAGTCCCTTATAAACCCTCATCCATACCAGTGGGATTCTGAGCACCACTTCCTGCGGTCACAGTTTTACATAGTGTGGACACACAGCTTACCACACTGCCCGGATGCTGGCTTTAAGGCCTGGTGTGAGATCTTCTGTCAAAAATTCACAGTTGCAGCTCTTGTTGTCAGGGTCAGCCATGTCTTCTCCTGGAAGGCTTGCTTCTAATTAAAGGAGGGAAGAAAGGGGTGAGAAGACAGGAGTACAACAGGTAGAGCCTC